GGGTTTGTTTAGGCGTCCACGAAAGTTTAATTCGCTAAGTTCTGTCCATTTCTCAACCAAAAACTTGGCGATTGGAGGCCAAAAAAATAACTGGAGAATTAATCTGTATTAGAAACTGTACCAAATTGGATTGAGGCATGCTGTTTGTTTCGATAATGCCAACAAAAGTGCTCGTATATAAGGGCAAAGCCCTTAATATTCCGACTGCCCCTTAATCCATAATGATTAGTTTTTGTTAAATTTTTTTTTTAAATTATTCATTTTGGACGATATCAAAGATCAAATGTGAAAAATCAAGTTAGGAAATTGATACATCCAAATACTTTTGCTAGGCTTAGTTCAATTTGGAGCGATTTATTGTGCGGGATATTTTGTGACGCATAAATGGTTTGCGTTATGCTTTCAGCAATATGAACAAGACTACACGTATCAGGGCAACACCCGGAATGTTCTGACTGCCTTTTAAGGTTTATGGAGCAGTATTAACATTAAAAAAATTATTGTAATAAAAAACAGGAAAAAATTCTAAAATTTGAACTTTTTTTATGAAAATTATCCACCATCAAGCCATATAAAGTACAAAAAAATATATTTCTCTCCTTGTAACAAATCAATTATGGCAAATTCAACCAATTTGGAACGATTTCTATGACAGATTGAATCTCCGCTTGCGCGTAAATAGCGCAAAATATATCGCGCGTTAATTGTCCTAAGTTGGCCCAAAAGGCAATCTCTCAACCCCCATAACTTTACGAAAAATGATCACAGGTAAAATCTCTTTTCAAACTTGTGCTCAAGACAACAATACTTTTTGAATGATAAAAAATTTTTTGTCAAAAATGGCTAGTTAAAAAGTCGAAATTTGTCTGATGAAAAAAAAACCCACCCGAGCAAAAACATTCCGTTACTTTCGTATCGAAAGTCGGAACAATAATCTTCAAAACGCTCATAAATCAATCAAGCTGTTTTCAAACTACCAGAATCCTCAGCCAAAATTATCGGAGCTAAAATATCTTTTAAGATTTGATTTCAGAGAGTCAATATCTTAAATGGGATATAAGTTTTTTTTGTAAAAAACTATTATTTCGACCACCGAAAATTGACTGAATAAAAAAAACACTTAAGCATAAATAGACCATATTTTTTAGAAAATTGGAACAAATATATCACTTTATAATTCACTTAGAGTGTAAGGGATGATTTTTGCGAAATAAAAATTGAAAAAAAAAGTAATTTTTTTTTGAAAGTTTCATCAATTTTTTCTAAAGAAAACAATATCAGGACCGTGCCCTGATACGAGCAGTCGTGTTAACAATACGCTTATGGGAACGCATAGTTATAGAATAACTAAGGTTGTGCTCCAGAATCCAAAATTAGGACATGAAAATGGTATCAATCTATTTTTTCAAAAGTAAAATTATTCATGTTGCGTGTGTGTGAGTTTGAGTTTAAGCGTGTTCGTTTGTGTGAGCGTGCGCTTTGGTGTCAGCGTGAAAGAGTTTGTTTTGCTACTCGTGTTCATTGACTGGATTCAAAATAATCGATTCATTGTTGCTGATAAATGCTTCGTGTGGAGGACTTGGTCTAAATTTGGTTGAAAATGGTCAAATACTAAAACCAGGGGCTTCGTAATTTTAATTTTTAATTGAAATAATTTTAATAGGTTCCAATTTTTTCAAATTTTTTTAAAAAATAATTGATTTAGAACATGTTATAATTGCAATAATTTTTTGCAGAAACCAAAATAATTGCAAATATCAGACTTTTCCAGGGATCAGTTTCTGCGGCAAATGCTGCCTATTAATCAACCGCCGAAATTTCAGGTAAACTAAATTGACAATAAGACAACTACGTCAAAACATGACACCTCTGCACCTTGAAGCTGCCCTATTTTTAAAACATCAAAAACTGCTGGAAAGTGGAGCTATTTTCAAAAGTTAATTTGATTTGCACAATTTTGCAAATGCAGTAATTGATTTTCATTTTTAGATAATTGCAATAATTAATTGCAGCCAGAGGCTCTTTTTCTTTTCCCCACCTGCAAATTTTTTTAAGTAAAATTACTGTTCCCGCCAACTGATTGTTATGGAAGTTGACATGTTTACTAATTAGGCCGTGACAAACATATTTGGTCTTCATAGTTAACCTTGTAAAAACCCTCATTACACCATAAAATTGATGCTGATGGGGATTGGGGGGTAAAAGGGTAAGAGCCCAGCCAGGAAAACTGCACAGTAGTTGATTTTCAGCTGCAATTTTACTGCAATTAATTTTACGGAGTCCCTAAATAAAACAAAGAAAAAACTGCAACAAACTGGAAGCCAGTAACTTCTATGGTTGCTGTACAGTTTATTTTTGTTGTATGATTAGGTTGGAAATAAACACGTGCCTTTGTATGGACGCAATTTTTTTATTTCTATGTTGAGTTAGGTTTCTGCAAAAGTACGTTGAAGCTACTGAAACTTTATAAAGCACTCAGACCTTTGTAAAACTTATATCTATAATCTTTTTCAGATATAATTTTCAGATCAGAAATAGGTCGTAAAATCTCAAAACACTGCTCAGATTTTCATAGATTGAATTATTTCAGACCTAATTTTAAATCTGAAGTTTTTTTTTGGTTATTTCAGATCTGAAAAAAAATTATTTCAAATCATATTTTAGATCTGAATTTTTTTTCAAATTTGAAAAAAAGTCAAAAAATCCTAAACACCTTTTGCTATTTTAAGTAATTTTAGGTACTTTTTAGGTATTTTTCAGCTTCTGCTAGGTGTATCAAGTACTCAGCAGTGTATCTAATTGGCAACTGCTAAGATATGTGGCCCAAAGCATGAGATAAGCGTCGTAATCGCATGGAGTAGCGCATGAAAATCAGAAATTTGATAGGTGTTCTAACAAGTTTTATTATAGAATAGGTACTCAGAGACAAACCAGGAGATAGAATTGTCCTGGAACCCTGTACAAATCATTTCGAAATTTTTCAACCAGTTTTTTGCTGATGTGGAATTTAGAGACAAATGGCTAAAAATAGCGCAGGTTTAAAAATTTGTTCATTTTTTGTTGTTTACGCTCACTGCTTGGATCTTTTCGCTGATTGCATTTTTCGCGTTTGTCAAAAAATTTTTTACAAGGTGTTTATTTGGTTGTGAAATCCACAACAAGCAATTAAGTCGTTTGTCAAAATTTCTTTTACAAGGTGTTTATTTGGTTGTGAATTCCACAACAAGCAATTAAGTCTCCCAATTCATCATCCAAGCACTCAGGATTCCTTGAATTTATGCAACCCACCAATTTTTCTGACCAGTAATTTTTCTAGGTCGTTGTTTTTTTAAAAAGCTGACAAGGATTTGAAAACTTAAATAAAGTCTAAATTCAGGCAAAAAAAACATATTTTCAATATGTTTTTTCCCATAGTGGTCGGAAATAACTAAGACTGGTATTTCATTCGTTAGAATACATTTTTGATACTAAAGCGGTTTTATTACAATTACTGTTCCGGCTTTCTAACGAAAGTAACGGAATATTTGTGCTCGGGTGGGTTTTTTTTTCTTCAGACAAATGTCAACTTTTTAACTAGCCATTTTTGACGCAATTTTTTTGTATCATTCGAAAGCTATTGTTGTTCTGAGCGTTTTTCGTACAGTTATGGGGCTTTAAAGATTGTCATTTTGGCCAATTTTGGACAATTAACGCGCAATATATTTCGCGCTATTGACGCGTGAGTGGAGATTTAATCCGTTTTAGAAATCGTTCCAAATTGGTTGAAGTAAGCCTACATGCCAAATTTGATTTGTTAATAGGAGCAAATTTTATCACTTCGTACTTAATATGGCATGTGGGGGGATGATTTTACAAAAAAAATCTCAATTTTTTATTAAATTTAAATTTTATTTTATTACATTTAGTTTTTTTTAATGTTATTACTGCTCCATAGACCTTAAAAGGCAGTCGGAACAGTAAGGGCTTCGCCCTGATACGAGCACTCTTGTTTCATGTTTCACATTCATTTTTTTCAAAGCGTTACATAGGAGCAATTTAGCTTCAGAGAGCACAAAAAAGATACACTTAATGTGCAAACCACTAAATTTACCTATGTTTAAGCAGCCCATTTTTATTTTAATTGCTCAAGCTAGTTGCCTATATGTAAGCTCGCTTCCGCCTACAAGAAATAAATAATGGGGAAAACAAAATATGGCGTAATTCCATATGCGTAAATCGAATAGTTTCACCTCAAGCGTATTATTGCTTAATGCCAAAGGCTTAACAACTGAGCAAGCAACAATTCACCAATTTCCATACATCCTTGGTAAATCGAATTGTTGAATATTTTAGATTTTTTTCTTTGAATGATTTAAAAAAAAGTTGGTATGTGTTTGAAACGGTCACATTGGATGGAAAGGGAAAACAATTAGCTTCCATTTTAGCGGCGTTGAAAAATTTTGAATTTTTTTTGCTTAAATGAAAAAATAATCACCTTTTTTTAGCCTATTTAAAACCGTTAAGCTGCTTGTTTTCTGACGAAATACATTTTGCGTACATGCAGCTTTACCGATTACCTTTTTCAGTTTTTAATTTCACTTGATAAAAAATGATTGTTTAACGGGAAAAAGTATGTTAAAGTTTTATTAACCTTGGATGAATTTTTCTCGATTCCGTTACAAAACGTATTGTATTCAATTTCCCCCCAAAAAATTGTCCACTTTCACATGATGGCTTGCCCTAATTTACCAATAATTATTTTTCCAGCTTTTTGAGCGAAGAAACTTGAGCCGACAATTAAATTGAATTCTTTCGTTTCTCTTTATTTTTGACTTTTTCTGATTACAACTACAGCAAAACATCAGTGCTGTTTTATCTAGTTTAAAGGCACACTTTAATAAATACAGAGGTAAAAATTAACTAACAGCCCTCCCTTGGGTTTCTTTTTTATCTCTACTATAACTTTGAGGCGCTCAAACATATTATAACACGAAGATAATATGTTCTTTCCTCTGTTTCAGAGCTGTTAGATCAATTTCTCTCAATCCCAGTTCTAACAATAGAGCTACTGGGTTGAACTCACTTCGGAAACTGAAGATTTTACCACACCAGTCAAAAATTATTGGTGACAGCGAGAGTTGTTCGATTGATTGCGATTCTCCTTCGACGAAACTAAACAACACGACTGAAAACCGGACAAGCGAGAGCCCGAAAGAAAACAAGGCCGACAGGGTCTTAAGCAGACGATCTACAACTTTGACGCCACCTCTGGCTTCGCCGCCGACGCCGACAGAAACGGATTTAGATCAAATCGAACCTTTCAGTTTTGACCCGAGTAAGACGAAAAGTGTCGCCGCGGCTCCTACACTTCGATTTCCTCCTCAAGCTTCAAACTCGATTGAAATCAGAATTTGCAAAAGTAGCGTTGCGAATGAAGAAACAAGTCAAATTCTTCCGGTGAACTTTGCGCGAATCAACTTGGAGAAACCGACAACGGAAAATACTGCAAATACAAACCAGGTGAACAGATATAAGAAGTTGAGCTCTAGTAATAAATACAACAGCACTTTGAATAGTAACTATAGCAGCGGCAGCAGTGGAGAAAAGCGACCCCCGTTAACCCGAATGGCAAACTCAAGTCGGTCCTCAAGCCCTTCGGATAGCGCGAACGATTATGCAAACGAGCACGGTCAAGTTCATCGGAACTCCGCTGACTATGTCCCGGTGTCCCGAATTGCTGCCGGCACGAGAGGCGCTACCGCGTTGAACCTATCACGCCGACAGTCGATTCAGTACTCGGCTCAAGGGCGCGGAATTCGCAGCGACGAACACGAGACGAGGATAAATTTAATGGGTCAACCAATGAATTTAAAGCAGAAAAAGATGGGATCTAGTTTTCAAATGCTTCAGAGCAAAATCTACAATTTTCTAGAACGGCCGAAAGGAAAACTAGCAATTACATATCACAGCCTAATGTAAGTTTTCAATTTCGTTTTTTAGTCCAATCAAGTAATATCAAGCACACTCCACTTAAAACGCGGTGTTAAAATATGAAAATTAAAGGTTGGTATTGTTGTTAGTTTCGATGGTTTGCACCACGAAAGGGTGGATGTTAGAGAACTAAAACGATACTTCTGGAGCCAAATATTCTTAAGGTTGTTTCTACTGATTGTTTTTGAAAAAAAACTCACTGTCGGACGTTTTTCAGCTCACTTTTGCTCTCACATTCACATATGAAAATTTGACAGAAAAACTTAATTTAATGACTGTGCAAGAGTCATTTATATTGATTTTCTGCCATGGCGACTGCCCGCATCCAGTTCCAAGCGTTAATAATCGATTATATTACAATTTTAGTACCAGTCTCGCTAAAATTGCGAAACAATCGATTTTAATCAATTAATAATCGATTATAATCTCTCTTTTTAAAATCAAATTATGATTAATTATAATCCAATATAATCGATTATAATCGATTATTTATTCGTCTATTTTTTGATACAATTATAATCGATCATAATTGATTTTAATCCATTATTTTTATTCAAATTTCTATTTCATTAATTTTGCACAAAAATCCATTATAATCGATTATAATCGATTATAATCCCTTTTGTTTGTCCATTTTTGTCTTCGAAGTTGCATCTAAATTGTTTACATTTTATGCTTTTTGTGGACGTTGGATCCAATGAAAAATAAGAAAAATATTTTTAAAGTTTTCCAATTAATTCAAATTTATAAGTTTTTTTTTCATTTCTTCCCCATTAGAGTTGTTTTGCGATGCATATTTTAAGCTTTTTTAAACACCAAAACATCAGCAAATTGATTTAGTTTCATGATTGGTTCGGAAAATTTATTTTTCATCTACCGCGAGAACCTTTCCACTTATATGAAAGGATCTCTATGAAACTTTTGTTTCGTGGTAAAACTTTATGTTCAGATGAACCAAAGTGTTCAAGAGATCTCTCTTTTAGCGATTTTCTTATTGACACAAAAATAATAACCCATAGGATATAATTCGAAAAAAGAAAAATTTTGGCAAATTAAGAGATTATAATCGATTATAATCGATTATAATCGATTATAATTGATTTTCAGGGTTTTTAGTAAGAACTATAATCAATTATAATCAATTATAATCGATTATAAAAGATTATAATCTCTTGGAAAACATCACGATTATAATCAATTATAAATCCCTTAAAGACCTAATTTTGGTAATTATAATGGATTATAATTGTCAAAAAATCATCATAATAATCCGTTATAATCGATTATTTACGCCTAAACTTGGATGCGGGTGGTTCAAGTGTTAATGGACTTTTGTATTGTAGCATGCAACACAGAGAAATTTGTTTTGGGCAACCCATTGTGCAACCCATTGGAATTTTGGTCAATCCCTTAATATTACACATAAATCTAAATTGCAGAATCGAAAAAAAAATGGAAATCAAGTGTACCAGAATCCTAATATTGAAGTATTTTTCACGAAAAATACAACTGAAATACAGATTTTAAATCACAAATAGCGTGACATGTAGGGTAATTTTAATAAAATTATGTAGAAAAATCAAAAGTTTCCAATCCAAATATTAAAAATGATTTAATCAGAACTACTACAAATTCGTTAAAAGTCAGTCGAATTGAAACATGACAGTTGAACTGAAAAATGCTGTTTCAAACCTCTAGTAACGTATTAAAAAGACCAAACAGCCCATTGTTATTAAATTTGTTACGCGTAGTCATGACTGACGTTAAGTTTGACATTACTCAATCGGACTGTCTTTTTCTGGTTTCGACATGATTTGAGAAATCATTTAAAATTTGTGATCAATTGTGATTATTTGTAAAATTTATTTGCTTTGTTTGTTTGTGTTTGTTCAGGTTTCTCTTGGTGTTCATGTGCCTTCTTCTGAGTGTGATGTCGACTGTTAGTCAGTATAGTGAAATATCACTAGCAGTGCTCATCAGACTCGTGAGTACTTTTTAAAAATTTTGCACCAAACTCAAAACGGCTTCTTATATTAATACCGCCTTTAAATATTGGCTATTTATTTAATTAATCGCCAGCACAAATATCCCTCGAAAAACTTCACCTGTAACAGTAACATATCTATACCCGGCTGAGCGCACTCATTTATTTTTCGAATTTCAAGACCGAGCACAAAAATTTTTGTCCTCGATCAAAAATCTATACCCATGTGGTAGAAAAATACCTGGTTTACACGGCAATCCATGCCCAGTTTTTGTGAAGTGTCGCCGAACCATAACACGAGCTCTATCGAATTTAAATTTTCTTAAACATTTTTTGAAGCAAAAAATACTATTTGAGCCTAAAAATTTTATTGCCATGGATCGTTTGATTTTCTTTTTGCAGCCGAAAACAGCAACGAAAATTTAGCAAAAAATTTTAGGAAGGGGAGAAACATTTGATGTAAAAATTGGTCAACCGAATCCTTCTCCAAACGTAATACATCAAGCTGATGCAAAAAAAACCCATACGCACTGACTAAAATGGGTTTAGATTGATTTCAGTTTCAAAAAATATGACGACTAAATTAAGATTGATTTTACTATCCGATGAGTATGCAGATTAAAAATTAAAGATGAAGATGGATATGGACTATTTTAAGCCAAATTAATTTGATCCTACTGCAGAATTAAAGAAATTATTTCAAATCGATTTGAAAGTTCACCTTTAAAAGTTTCTGTTTTTCAGGGAAATTAAAATTTTTTTATTCAATTCAAATTAATAGAAACAAATTTAAATTGACTTATACTGATTTTTTTGAGTTGTTCGACTATCAAATCATTTCTTTAAACTGGAAAAAACGTTTCAAAAGTCCGCGATAAGATAATTTTTACGTGCTGCTGTCTGACTTGAACAACAAACTATAAAAAAAAATACAGGGTGATTTTTTTAGAAAGACCTCAGTTTTCCACTCTTATAACTTTTGGAGTAAATGCAATAAGAAGCGGAAACTTCAATTGTATAGAGCAAAATTAAAGAAAATTGAGTAGTATAAAGACTGATTAAATTATAACAATGATGCAAAACTGAACTTCGCAACACTTGCGATTCCATTAAAACCTGGCAGATTGAACAAACAGAGATATTGAACAGAAAAAAGTAGAAAGTCGTTCTTAAAACTAAATCAGGCTAAGAAACCTATTTCAAAAAGTCAAAAAATCATCATCTCAAAAATTTTCATTTATTTGTCTCAGACGATGATCATAAACAGCCTTAACAAACTTTGGAAATCTCTGAACGAGCGGCAAATAAGGCGACAAAAATTCTTTTGACTCTCGCTTAGCCGAAAACAAAACTGTAATAATAAAAGTTAGGCAAAAAATCTAAATTGTGTGAACTATCCCTCCTAAAGCACTCAAAAGCTTACAAAACTTTTTCATTGCAATTAGGCAATATAAGTTGACAAACCGATTCAACATAAACCAATCCGCTTAACTGAATTTTTTTAAATACTCAAAATCAGAGTTGGTAAAGTTACTAACTTCGAATAAAATTTTTTAAGCACTACTTGAATAAAAAACTTTGGAAAGAAACTGTTTGAAACGCGTACCAAATAATATGAATTTAATTTAGAAAAAAAGAATCTGCAGACAGAAATTAGGACGAAGTCCACAAACACAAACGTTATTATCCATTTTTTTGGTGAAATTTATTGCCCTTATAATCGGTTACAATTACATTTTGAGACCACGCAATCGATTAGAATCCGTTACAATCCAATAGAATGGGTTTTAAAAATTTATAATTTGTACAAATTTTTTGCAAAAAGTTGAAAAATTTGCAGCAGTTTATTCGTTACTCACGACGTACTCGATTTCTAATACCTGTCACATTTATGAGTTTTTGTCAAGACAATTTCCACTAGAAAATTAATAGTTCCCTCTCCCATACTTAAGCCAAAAATTTTCGCAAAGTTAAAAACAGAAAGCCAAAAATGCGTTTTTAAGTTTTTTTTTCAAAGCTAGCACCCTGCCGCCCTATTGTAAAAGAGCAGCATTTTGTTATAAACACAAAAGCACAAATTTCGTATATGTCTTTATAGCCGCTGAAGTTGTTGCCTTGATAAGGCTATTCATTCTATCAGGGCGAACAGTTTTAGCGGCTTTACAGCCATTTATGAAGAAACTGGCGCTTTTTTACTTGTAACGAATTTGCACCTTTTTTAAATTGGACTGCAGGTGGAGGGGGGAGGGGGCTCATTAATTTAATCCAAAACAAAACAGCTGATTTTGTGCTCTAGCTACATGCAAAATCATTGCAAATATTTCTTGTTTCTGCACTAAGCAACAATTTGTAAGTTAAGTTCTGAAAGTTTGATTCTAAGCAAAATGGATCACTCTCAAATTTTTAGTTAGCGGTAAATTCTTTCCTTGGGCGGCTGTTGCATATTTTTACATCACTCAGAGAGAAATTTTCCTGAACATGAATTTTTTGCTCAAATTTTTGAATTAAAGCATCAAAAACTCATTTGAAAGTTTCGTATTTGGGACTTACGTAGCATATTTGCGCGACTTCATATTTCGATGCAAGTAAAGATTTTTCGCCGCACGATGTGCAGTTGCGAGATTGTATTCAGTCAGGACATAAGTCGCACACCCTGGTACTTGTTGTAATTTCTTTTATATGTATAAAAAGGGGGTTAAATTGTTCGCGAAATCTGTGGTCTCAACTAAACTGAGGTGATATGAAATCATTAAATCCTTGATTATAACCAGGAGGTGTTTCTGGTCATTGGCTATTCTCTGGAATATGCTCTGCGTGTGTGGAGTGCGGGTTGCAGGAGCAGATATCAAGAAGTCTCCGGTCGACTCCGATTTATGAAGCAGCCATTCAATCTACTCGGTTAGTTAACTATAATGATAATAATCCTAATAAATTGTTTTTAGGCTAGTATACTAGTAGTGCTGGTTATAAAATTGCATTTACAATCCTTAAACATTAGCCTGAGAGATCTGTTTTTATAGCCAAATTCTGTCGTTTTTTTTTTAATAAAACACTTTTTGTTTTCAAAAAGTTTCCAATGTGAAAGATCCAAACTCGTAGGTTACTAATTAATTCTGTCTATCCTTAACTTTTCCGATTTAAAAATAGGTTTCAAAAAACATTGTTTTTCTCCCACACGCATATATCCACCCACATGCAAAGCACAAAAAGAATGCACAATTTTGAGTCTGGTGACGCTCTAATGAGAACAAACTGTTCAGCTCATTTCAATTGGCTGCTTACGCTTTAATAGCCGAAACATATGGCGCGTTAATTATCCCAGTTCGAATTATAGACGTCGTCAAAATTTTTCGTATTTTTTCATCCATTTTGTTTTTAAATCATTACTATTACTTAATCATAAGTGCTCACCGAAGACAAATTTTGATTTTGTTCTCCGGACAAATTTTGACTTTTTAACCAACAATTTTTAACGAAAGTTTTTTTAAATCGCTCAAACGGTATTGTTGTCCTGCACACAATTTTGAAAAAAATTATCTGTGATAATTTTTCGTAAAATTATTTGATTTGAAGGCTGGCAATATGGCCAATTTCGGATAATTATTGCGCAATATATTTCAGGCTATGAACGCGATAGCGGATATACAATGTCCTAGAATTTTTTCTAGATTAAATTGGACCTTGATATTGGTCTTTTTATAGCGTTACTAATGCAAAACATATCAGCTTGTTTATTACATAGCGTATGGGCGATGGCTTTCAGAAATCTCAAAAAAAAAATTCAAACTTTTTCATTTTGGTCTTAAAGTTTCATAATTGTTTTGAAGCGAACACAACTTCATAGACCTTAACGCCGTGGAAACTTGCAGGGGCTTTTCAGGCGCCTGTAATTTTCAGGAAGTTTTCACGCAATTTGTTTTTCTTTATATAGATAGTTAATCAATGAATGATTAATAAAATTATTTTCTGACCATTTGAAAAAAAGGAGAGAAACTTTGTATTTGGATGTACTTTGGTTTTTCTTTGCCTCATGAATCATATATCATAGTAAAGCCCTTCCAGTCCTATTTTGAACAACAGTAAAAAAAACTTCAAACAGTTTTATTAAGTGTCGAGAAAAACAGGTTTGAAGTTTTTGATTTATAATCTAATTTCGAGCAAATAAGGTGAGCGTACATGCTCTTTTTGTTTTTGAACCAAAAAAAAATACAACGAATAATCATCGGAATGAGTCAAGTCATTTCATATTAAAATAAATTTCAATCCGGATTCGAACAACTTTGAATTTTTTTTGAATTTATTCTTTGTTTTTTTTTTCTGGAAGTTTTTCAACAAAAAATGGTTTTTAAATTTGTCTATTTTTATGTGACTGTCGAATATTCCTTAATTTCAGGTTTGGATCAGATCCGTTTTTCACAAAAAAAACATCAATTTGAAAAAAAGCACCAAACACGCTTTTTTTGTCTTTTCAATAATACGGCCGGAAAATTCTGAGCTAGTTGCACAGCAACCGGCTATCGTTGTTCTTTTTATAGATTTTGTGATATGTGGTCTTTCCTTCTTCTTATTGACGATGCGGCATTGACGATGCGGCAGGGAAAGGGCAACACATTCGCGCCCTACGCCCTCCGGGGTCTGAAGTTCCTGCAGATCCTGAGAATAGTGAGAATGGACAGACGGGCCGGAACCTGGAAACTCCTGGGCTCAGTCGTCTACATGCATCGCCAGGTAAAGTCTTTTCGGTGATTTTGAAAATTGCATCATAAATCTCGAATCTGATTGGTTGAAATCATTTACCAACCAATAAGCCATAAAAATAAAGTAAAAATGTTTTTTGTTTTTTTTAGCTCCATTTTTGGACTAAAAAAACTTCAAAAAAATTCGAAACAATTTCTGAAAAAAAGCAATCTTTAAGCTACTTTAGCAATCTTTAAGCAATCTTTAAGCTACTAACAGCAAAACAAAGTCAAGATTTTCATTATCAACCGAGGCTCAATGAACAATTTGGCAATTTTGGGCCGTATAATAGAAAAAACCGCCAGTTGTGAAACGATGATTTGTTTTTTCAATGAGCGCTGGTCGGGAAGTGGCTACAGGGGCGCATTTAGGGGCGGTGTTGGTGAACTGGGGGACGCCCCTTTTCTCCTCAGGAACTTGACCCCATCTCCAACCAAAAGTCCCCCTTTGATATCATTTTATGTACCAACCCTAAAGTTTTTCTAATACAAACTAATTTTGAGGGGGAGCGTGCGCCAAAAAAACGCGATTTTCTGGCCAAAACGGCCTTTTTCACTTGTTTTTTTATTCAAATTTTAATGGGGCGGCGCAATTTTTTTTTGTAAAAATAGGGTCTTATTAGTGTCGACCTAAAAAAAAAGTAGACAAAATTTTTTTTCGCAAAAGCTACATCAGATACGTTAAAGGGCAGCCCAAATCAGGGTTTTATTCAAAGAGGTAGCTTAAAGATTGCTCAAATGGTTAACGACAGCTGAAAATGTTTTAACGATGATTAATACGTTTTTGCAAGAATAGCAAGATTTGAATTCGAAAAAGATTTATGACTACTCCCTCATGGAATCTGGAGCCATCTGCGTCCGCTCATCGACAAGCTGAGCTTACCTAAATTAATTATTTTGTTTTAAGTATAATTCAGTAAACATTAATGCCAAAGTGTAACTAAAAATGAATCGTTTTTGATATTAGACAAAAATCACATATTTTCAGGTTTTCACAATTTCAATGAGAAACTATGCTTATAATTGGAGTTTAAGATGCTGTTTTAGGAGGAAAAAAACACGACAAGTTTTTTCAAAATGTGATTAATCATATGAGTTTTTTACCATCTTAATATATAATGACACTTAAAAATGTTTTTTGGTCAAGCCACAAATGACTTATAGCCTCTTGAATTCTAATTCAACTGGAACGCATGCCCGTTCAGAGTTCGATTAGCGAACATTTTCTCTACTAGATTTTTTAAACTCTTTTCTTGTCAGTCTGTGTTCACCTACGTGTTATTTTACCCTTGACTTCACAAAACACGTTGCTTCTAAGGGACGGTTCAGTGATCTGTCTAAATATTTGAAGGCTGCTTGTCATTCAGTATACCAGTATCACCCCCACTACAAAAATAATCAATTACTCATGTATTTTGATGTGCTGTTGTCTCCCTATTCAATTTGAAAAATTGGGGAATTTAATCTCATATTACGATCATCACCCACGGGAAATAACAAATGATTTTTTTTGGTTTATTCATGTAGTTCATAAAATTGCAGGCTTTATTTGACGTTGAAAAGGATTCAGGCTTTTTTCACTCAATTCCAAAAGCCTGATTGAAAAAGGGAACAGAGTTTGAATTAAGATGCGCATAATTTAGAGAAAGCGAGCAACAAAAAGCTTGTAAAAAGCAAGATTTTCAAACCAAAAAAAACATGTAGAGCATTAGCAATGAACCGCAGAGGCAATAAAGTCAAACATGAAACAATTCGTTAGTTCCGAGTTTATTTAGGAGAGCTTTGTTCATATACAATGTGTTAATGAAACTGCCTGTAGAGAAAAACTCACCAAGGCTCATGCAAAAATCGGCACATGGCCCTGAAAGCCCAAGACAGAAGTTGCGAGAAAATATCGGACTTGAAACTTGCAAATTAAGAAAAAACAAATCTAATATATTATATGGTATCAGCCGTTTCTTCGTTCATGGTTTTTTTCATGGGATTTTTTGTTCATGGGGTGCAAAAATTTTTGTAATAACTTTGTACGGACATAAATTCTATTTTTAATCTCAAAATAGGCAATTTTCACAAGAACCGCACTAATTTTCGGTTTTTTTCACTCACATTTTAGACCTTTGACTATAAATCATTTATGGTTAATAATTGTTGTTCCGACTTTCGATACGAAAGTAACGGAATATTTGTGCTCGGGGTGGGTTTTTTTTTCTTCAGATAAATTTCGACTTTTTAACTAGCCATTTTTGACGGAATTTTTTAAATATCATTCGAAAAGTATTGTTGTCCTGAGCTCAAATTTGAAAAGATATTTCACCTGTGATCATTTTTTGTAAAGTTTTAGGGGTTTAAAGATTGCCATTTTGGCCAATTTGAGACAATTAACGCGCGATATGTTTCGCACTATTAACGCGTAAGCGGAGAGTTAATCCGTCTAAAAATCGTTCCAAATTGGTCAAAAGAAGCTTATTTGCCATAATTGATTGGTTGCAAGGAGCTAAATCTATCTTTTTGTACTTTAAATGGCGTGTGGGGAGATGATTTTCATAAAAAATTTCAAATTAAAAAAAAAATTTTTTAAAAATTTTATTACATTTAATTTTTTAATGTTATTACTGCTCCATAAAACCTCAAAAGGCAGTCGGAACATTCAGGGCTTCGCCCTGATACGAGCAGTCTTGTATTCATTTTGCTATCACACATCTTGCATACTGCAGCGCACATCCATCAAAACCGAATGCTCCTTCCTTGCCATTTTGGTTTGCCGCCTCAGCTTTGAAAGTCTCATTGTTTTTCTCAAAAGACTCTATGAAACAATTCTCAATATTTCGAAACGGAGTTCAAAAAACTGAGTAAAACTTTTGTCTTAAATTTACAATCAGCTCAAACAAAATTCTCAGAATTTAAAATTTTGTGTCTTAAATAGCTGCAAAAATGATTACGTTTTCAACCCTTTTTGGAAAGTCCTGTGTCTCAAAACAAAATAATAAATTGCAATTAAACTTTTGATAGCACACTTATCAAGGGAAAAGTTGGAATAACACAAGAAATGGGGAAAATATCATTGGGGTTAGAGGTTGTTCGGTTGAATTTATTCTCTATGGATCTTTTATAGTTCTTCAAAATTGGCTGATCGCTTGCCAAAAATACCCTTTTTTAATTTCAATTTTAGTTTGCCATATTTGCAATTTTAACAAAAGAACTTGAAAACAGTTTTAGCTTCTTAAAAAAGCTTTCAGCTACTAAAATATTAACAAGAAATTAAGCTCTCTTTGATTGACGTAAAGGACGATTGGAGAGAATGTTAATTCTTCAATTGACAAAAGTTTACAAGGGTTTATTTCCCAAAAGTGAGCCGATTGTATGCACAATTAAATTTTAAATCTTAGAAATATGTTAAAATTATTTTAGAAACATCTGAAAATTAGAAAAAGTAGAAACTTGAGAAAATTCTTTGCGAAATAATATTTTAAAAAATTATTCATGATAGCTTAGAAGCATCGTCTTAATCTAAATTTTCCTTTATTTAAGTGTAGAACCGATTTGGTGAAAAATTTTATTGCTTAAAATATTTTGGTTAGATCAAGAATTAATTTCATCCGATAAGAGAAAATTTATTGAGAAAAAAAAGAATTGTTTTGGCGCAATTCAAATTAGACTACTGCACTAATCTCAAAATTATTTATAACTCGCGCCGTCTAGCGTTCATTGCAGTATCCGATTCTGTTTAAAAAGCATATTAGGAATATTATTCATATTTCGACTGCGTTAGAACAAATTTAGACGGACAAAAATTGCTCATTAAATTGAATCATAACTGTGAATTTGGTTTGCGGTTTTCAGGAGCTGATCACGACGTTTTACATCGGATTTCTGGGTCTCATCTTTGCGTCTTTTGTGGTTTATCAGACGGAAAAAGAGACCAACCCCCAGTTCTCAACTTACGCCGATGCCTTATGGTGGGGAATTGTGAGTAGTCTTCAAATTTTTTCAACTTATTTAACCCTAGATGCCGGCACTGACAAACTTGAGATTCAAATAAATTTAAATCGGTTTTTCTACAAACAATATACTGCATGAAAATCGATTTACGATAGCCCATATAGATGCCTAACTTGATATAGAATGGACTGAATGAATTTTTACGGTAGAAAAAAAAATCGGTTTTATTGTCTAAAAAAATTACATGGATTTTTGAGTGGCATTGATATGCATTAGAATCTCAACAAAATTGATTTATAGTAAGTACTCTCATTTGAAACTTTTTTTTTGTATTTTTTTTGTATTCGAGAAAAGTCTCCATCGGAGCTACAGAGAGCAAGTTTTTATACCGCAAATTTTTGTGATGAAGGGATCCCCTTTAAAAATTTGCAAATCTAAGGGCTCCCACGGTATGAAAAGTAAAATTATGCAAGATTTCTACAAATTTCATTTTCATTATCATCGTTTTAGGCGCAATCATGTAACGCAAATGACATCTGCCTGAAAAACTTATCTAAGAACAATTCATTTTTGATGCAAAAATTTACAGATTAATTATACTCAGAGTTTCTTTTCGGGCCAAGCATAAACGCCAAAGTCAAATGAAAAGCATACATTAAACTTTTTAAAAGTTTTATCTTATCTGATAACCGCGAAAGTCTGAACAAATCTGTATAGAATATGTATAAAATGAGCATACAAAAAAGTGGACAAAATCGATTGAAATTAATTTAAATTGATTTTATTCTTACTCAAAAACCGTGTGAAAATGAAGTCAAAAAATTTGACAAAAATGCATTTATATCAACTTGATTTAAAAGGCTTGAACTCAATTTTTTCTGAGCTACAGTTTTGTGTATAACTAAATCGATTTTATATTGATGCAGATCAATTTTTTCTAGCTCTTTGCAAAATTATCTGCATAAAATTGATTGCAATCCATTCTTGTCGTTTTGATATCTATTACTTCGGCGATTTATTGACTGCTCATGACTGCTCGTATTAACAAGACTGCCCACATTGCAACAAGATTGCAAGTATGCTCGTAATAACAAGACTGAATATTTTGGTTTTGTCTTAGCCGGTCTTGGATAATTATAGCTAAATCATAAACTTTTTACTGCCAAAATAAATTTAAAGCACTTACACTTCAGTCGACATAATGACCAATTAGTTAGCCTCAAATCAATTTGGAACTACTACAGCACTAAGTACTAAGTGTTCAGTCAAGACAAACATTTAATAATTAATCGGTTTGGCTTTAAGCAAAAATGATGAAAACGAAACCTGATCAGAATTTTAGTAGAAATATTAAGGTGCGAATTGTATTGAATTATAAAATGATTAGTATGAAAATAGCAAAAAAGCATTTTTCCATACAAAGAAACTCTATAATTAAAATTTTTCGTCAATTTGGATTTATATAACGAGCGTTTTTTCATAATTTTATTACAAAATTTGGATGACGTTTTATTATATACTATGAAATTGTATGATAAGCATTTTTCCAAAAAAAAAGAAACAAAAAAGTTGTTTTCAAAAGTTTTTTTTGTCCAAAAACATAGTTACCAAGGATTTTCAGAAAGGCAATTAATACGCAGATAAACTGCATTTAATGGTTTTTTCACTCAGAGTTATATGCAAGCAGCGTAAGTTTTTGTATATGGCTAGAATTTTCTATTTTAAAATCTTTAGTGGTTCAAAAATAACCTAATTATTTTATACAGATCTAGGTTCATTTTAGGATCTTAAAACACTTTTGGTCGTTCTGGATAAGCATTCTAGTGATTTTAGATTTTTCATTTAAACATTCCGCTTGGACTTTGTTATAGACACAAAATGATAAATTTTGCATGCAAATCAATTTTCCGTTAAATCTTTGTTGAGCTCAAAAGCGAGATTCAATCAAAATGAGCAAAAAAGTTTTCTCTTATAAAAAAATGCATATCATATGGTTTTTGCTTAAGTGTTATTTGTGTTCTTTGAGTTGTGAACCAATTTGGAAAAAAATTCGATTGAAAAAATGCTTATCATACAATTTTTTTCAAGTTTTTTATGATAAGCATTTTTTCAAAGATTCCATATATAAAATTGTGACCTCTACCAATTTCATTAAGGTGACCTTGACGTTTTGAAAACTTGAACTTTGAAAGCTTTGACAATAGAATTCATGTGACACTGGCTCGTTGAATGTAGGTGACCTTGACAACAGTTGGCTATGGCGACGCAACTCCGAAAACGTGGCCGGGTAAACTGACGGCTTCTTTCTTCGCCATAATGGGCATCTCGTTCTTTGCCCTGCCAGCAGGTATTTTAGGAAGTGGGTTCGCCTTGAAAGTGCAGCAGCAACAGAGACAGAAACACGTCGCCAGGCGCAGACAGCCAGCTGCTTCTCTGATCCAAGTAATTATAATCCTAATAATTACGCTTGCAATTAGCAAGCTTTATCACTTAAATCACTTGGTATCTTGCTTCATAATGAACCGAATTTCTAAGCATAATGAATTAAATTTCTTGTTGCTTTTTATGTTTTCCTTTATTCCTGCATCTTGCAATTATACTACCCTTGACTTCGTGTATTTTCCTTTTTTTGATTTTTTCGCCTTAGAACTTTTCGGCTAAAATGATTTCGGTTTATATCTAATCGGCTTCCTAACCTAAATTTGGATCGTTTGCATGCTTTCCCCTCAAATCGTTAACAATTTCAGAAAAGAATTTATAGTTCAATGTTTTTCATGACAACAATTTCACTTTTGCTCGGTACTTGTTGTTGAGTTTTCATTAAACGCTATCGAATGAGTTTCTAGACGTATTTTGCGCAAATAAAACATCATTCCAGACAACGTTTTGAAGTTTTTTTATTTGATGTTTCTTGGAGAATTTTTTCCGTTTTCTTTGGACTTAGAGGCTCTCCTTTCCTTTCCTGCTTGCTAGCTTGCAATGCTATGGTTGTGGCATCGCTTCGCCCCTGTATTTTTAATATTCAACGCTAACATCTTTCAGGTCCTTTCCACAATAACCTCGGTGTAACGCCGTACGACGGTCGTCGTTTCATTCTTAAGTCTGGGGTTCCCTTCTTGACCGGACCGTGTTTTTTTCGGTTTGTATGCAATTGAAAACAATTTCCGTTCAAATTGAATTGTAGGACTTTCGTTTGTCTATTCAATGTTTGTCAATTACGTTGCCGCACCACGGATTTTGCTTGTGCTGTAAGCAACTTTGACAGCAATCGCAAGTGTTGTTCATTCTAGAATCAGCGGACAAATTGAAAGATTTAATTTTTTCTTCATAAAATCATTTTTTTCTTTCGTAACAATTTGTTTCTGCTCAAAGATTGTCGAATTTTGTTGACTTTTTGTAAGTTTTGTTCCGTTGCTAATTGAATATTTAAGTTTTTGGGATTTTTGACATTAATAAATATCGAGGAATTTGAACTTTTGTTTGACCAATTTTTTCTTTTTAAAAACTTTTTTTTTCAACTTTCTTCCGATGTTTTTGTATATTTTGCCTCAGCGAATAAAAATTTTTACGCTTGCAATTAGCAAGCCTATTCAAATCGTAATATATAGACTTTTTTGGTGTGAACCATAGTAATTAATCATCATAATAACAATAATAATAATAATAATAAAAATGATCAGTGGCGGATTTAGGGGGGGGGACGCTCTTTCCTTCAGGGATTCGACCTCCTGCCGACCCAATGGGTCCATCCTTTGTACTATTTTGAGATATCCATTTTTGGTTACGGACCCTATAAGTTTTCTAAGGGCTTCTTCGGCGCCAATTTTTACTAATTTTGAGGGGGGGGGCGTGCCGAAAAAACGCGATTTTTTGGTCAAAATTTTCCAAAAAGGGCCTAAAAACGCCTTTTTTGGCTTGTTTTTTCAAAATTTGCCCGCGGCGCAGAAATTTTTGGGCAAAAAAATCTTTTTAGTGCTTTGGGGGAGCTCGGAAAATCAATATGCTCGACCTAAAAAAAATGTCGACAAAGTTTTTGAAATTTTTTTGAAAATCCCCCCTCGAAAAAATCGTAGATCCACCCCTGGTAATAATAAAAAAATGTTTTTGAACCTATACTATTTTATACATCGGATATTTTGTATAGATCAATTCGACATGGTCAGAGATTACATCGATAGGCTTAATTCAAACTGTTCAAGCGATGCCTCAGAAAGCAGGAGAATTATTTTAAGCATCAACAAAATTGATTTTTTATTATTTTTTGTCCCTTGTAAAATTTAAGACTTAGACTTATTCACTTGGCAAAAAAATGATTAGAAAAATGCACTGTAAAAATGCAGCAAGAACTTTTGGGCTTTTTCTGCTAATATTCTCAAACAAGGAAAATTTAAGTGCCATCGTTCTACTTTAGATGCTCTTGTCATTTAAAAAATTTCGTATCAACTTTCACGATCGGAACAACAAAAAAAGAAACCGAAACTTCCGTAACATAGCTATCCTTGCTTCACATATACGTTCTGTATTAAGAAAAACTGGCCCAAAAGCAGTGTTTAGAAAACTCTGGAAAGCAGTTTTTTTGAACGTTTGCTTCTATTTTGAAAAAGTTTGCTACGAATTAGGTATAGTCGGAACTTTCAGCGCTACTTTTCCAGCAACTGGTTTGTATTAATGTTTTGTTCCAGTGTCTGTGGCGATGCTATGCGGCCAATGAAGACTCGCTGTCAGTAGCGACTTGGCTCATACACGTGAAGCCCAAAATAGCCCAAAAAAATAACCCCCACCTACATCACAACGACACCAACGCACGCAAGTAAGTGTTAGATGCAGGGGCGGTTTTAGAGAGGGGGGATGGTTTCGACCTGAGGGATTCGATCTCTTCCCAGCACAAAGGTTCCCTCCTTTGGTACTTTTTACGGCTTGGTTGTGCGAATTAGTCTTGCACAGTATTTCATATACAAAACAGATTTTGTGAGCGTGAACACGCGGTTGGATGCAATATTTTCTTGATGGCCGGCCAAAATTTTTGTCCTTCAAAAGATATTGTTATATTTTGGGTGTTCAGGGGGCCATCAAATATTTTTGAAAAAACTGGCCAAATAAGGCATTTTTAGGCAGATTTTGGAAAGTTTTCACCAAAAAAAATGCGTTTTTTTGAACCCCCCCCCCCCTAAGTTATTAATTATTAACGCCAACGGCGCTTTTAGAACAATTTTAGGGTCGGTCACCGAAAAATGGATGTCTTTAAAAACTACCAGTCGTTGTACTTTTTTCACATTACGAGGCCAAACCGTGCACTGGATAGGCGATTAATTTGGTGTGTGTAGGTCGCAGGAATCCAGAGACAAGTCTTTAAACCTGATAAAAATTTGTCGAAATGATCAAAGAAAATGAAAGAACAAAAGATGAACAGAAGAGATAGCGTCTTGATGCGGAATCTGCCTACAATTCACAGAAAAAAAAACACAGTTTGGCCTCGTAATGCGCGTCGGAAATTGGTTTTCCGAGGTTCATCAAGACACCATAAAGACCCTGTTTGGCAAATTTTTCTGGGCTGGAAAAAAATGTTCTATGCTGCAGGTCGAAATGAGAAACTTTATAACGGTAGGTCGGTCAAAATTTAGGGTAGATTGGTCAAAAATGGATATCCTTTGAAAAAATTTGGCAACCAAAAATTATGGTCCATGAATGTTAGAAACAACCAATCTACTAAATGAAAGTGAATGTCAGCTAAAAAAAACCTATTTAAAATAGTTAGCTCGAGTGATTTTAGACAATATTTTTAAAGTTTTTATATTTTACCGCCAATTCAACTTGCGGCGTAAAATAAAATCAAACCCAAAATCATAATCGCAAAGCCTTGATCATTTCCAGTTCCCTCGATTGAGTATGATTAAGAGTCAATGAACGTAGTGAAGTTACTTGTATAGGTTTTGATGATCATTTTTTCTGTAACAAGTTTTACAATTTAGTCACGCTCAAAGTTTTAGCAATTTCAAAGTAGTTTTGAAAGCAAATTTTTTTGTGTAAAAATCCGAGCGAAAAAAAAATGTTCACCTATTGATCCAGTTTTCTCAAATTGGATTAGTTTGCTAACAAAAAATTTCAAGATGTTTTTTTGTAGATAACCAAAGAACTTCAAATGGCGTTTTTTCAAAAAAAAGTCTGTTTTGTTTAAGAGTCGATGAACGCAGTTATAGGACTCTTATAAAGG